TTGTTTTTTAAATTGTATTGCCAAATTTTAATTGATTTCTTTTGAGAGCCACCTAGGATCCTACTCCGGGAGAAAAAAAATGGCATATAAATGAAATAAATAAAATAATAAACAGTTTATTGACAAACATGTCCAAAAGAGGGTGACTGGGGGCATGTCTTTACTAGCTGTTTAACCTGGGGCCAGTCTGAAGCATTATGCCACGGACTGACCATGATGGTGATCACATGCACTAGGCCAATACCAGTGTAATGCTGTATCATTGTGCACACAGGCCAGCCAGGTCAACATCATATTGGTCCTGTTGGCTCATGCCCTTCAATGACTCCACTGCTGCCACCTCACCAGCCAAGCAGCTCCATGTAAGAGCCTGCCCAGTGTGTTGCCACTTCTGCTGAGGACAATATGGGGTTCATGGATTCCTTGCAGATCTCATATCCAGGTGCTCATTTCTGTTCTCATCCAAATTGTTGCAGTGGAGGCAGGCTTTACACAGAATTCATGTTCATGAGGAAACAAGTAGCAGCAACTCCAAAACAGGCCATCTCTTTTCCCTGTGCTGCTCATTGTGGGGAAGAGGGATGGCACAGCCCTTGTCATGTGGACAGCTGATCAGTTTGAATCAAACCCAATCCAGCTGTCCACATGCCAGAAGAACCGGTGATCAGTCTGGGGTTTCTGGGAAACAGTGGAATTTTACCTGACTTTGCTTAAGTTTGGAGCAAAGTCAGGTTATGGGCCCAAAACTGCAGTATCTGATCATGAGGACTGCCAGTGCCAGCTTCAGGGTGAGTTCAGTGTTGTTCCCCAGTGTAGACAAGCCCTAATATAGTAAAAGGTCTGGAAGCCAAATCCTATAAGGAATGCTTCAGGGAGGTAACCATGCTTATGTCAGAGAAGAAAGGGTGGAGGGCTCTCATATGGAAGATGGAGTGAGCTTGTTGTTTGCTGTTCCAAAGGGCAGGACGTGAGCCAATGGATTCAAATCAGAAGACATTTCTGCTAAACATTTGGAAGAACATCCTGACAATAACAACTGTTCAGTGAAAAAGACTCCCTTGGAAGATGGATTCTTGGTCATTGGAGCTTTTTAGATTAATAATAATAATAATAATAATAATAATAATTTTTATTTATAGCCGGCCCCTCTGCTAAGCAATCGGGGCAGGTTACAGCATAATTAAAACATAAGGAGTTAAAAACAGACAATCCCAATCCCCTAACCCTCCCACCCCCTAAAACTGAATTAAACTAATATTCTATTAAAAACCATATACAAACTTTAGAACAATATAAAACAACAAGGCAGTGGACACAATTTAGAACAGTAAATCAAGGCAGCTTGCCAGGCTCCTCATGTCCAGGAAGTTATTCCGGAAAGGCCTGCTGGAAGAGATCCGTCTTTACTGCTTTCTTAAAAGCAGCAAGCATAGTAATGAGACGGATCTTGTCCGGCAGGCCGTTCCGTAGCCTGGAAGCAGTCGCGGAGAAAGTCCTCTGGGAGGTCTGCGACAGCCTGGTCTTCATGGGTTGTAGCAGGTTCCTCCCAGAGGACCGCAGGGTACGAGGGGGCTCATATGGGAAGAGGTGGTCCCTGAGATAAGATGGACCCAAGCCATGTAGGGCTTTAAAGGTCAAAACCAACACCTTGTACTGTGCCTGGAAACTAATTGGCAGCCAGTGGAGGGATTTAAGCACAGGTGTTATGTGCTCCCTCCTAGATGTACCAGTAATTAACCTGGCTGCCATATTTTGGACTAGTTGCAGTTTCCGGGTTAAGCACAAGGGTAGCCCCATGTAGAGTGCATTGCAGTAATCCAGACGTGAGGTTACCAGAGCATGTACTACAGTTTCCAGATCCCTCATGGCCAGATAAGGGTGCAGCTGGCGTATCAGCTGAAGCTGATAACAGGCGCTCCTGACCGTCACATTCATCTGACTAGTCATGTGAAGCGACGAATCTAAGAGCACTCCCAGACACCCCAAATTGTGTTTAGATTCCCATGCCTTAGGATTCCATCTATCTGTCTGTATGACAAATCAGTTTCCAAGCTTTTAAAATACCGCAGCTTAACAAAACCTAAAGTGGAAGGACTGTCATTCAGCTCTTTAAGTGTTCATGGTGGAGAGATGGACTTCCACTGACACCACCAGCTGTATATGTAGCCACCTTGAATCCTATTTTGGAAGAAGGCAGGATATAAATCCAATAAATTATCATCATCTTCATCATCTTCAACATCCAAGGGCAGCAGAGAACCTCCATCCAAGAAGCCAGATGCAGTGCATGATAAATTACCCATCTCAACCATGAGTTTCTTTTGGTATCTCTAGTCAGTGGCCATACTAGCTGGGGAATTCTGGGAGTTGTAGTCCAAGAAGTATATATTCCAAGTTCTGCTTTGTGCACACACTGCTTCTTCCTAGTAAAAAAAAATAAAATAAAAGCAGCCTTCTGATATCATTGACTGAGGCTCTGTTGCCAGTTCCATCCTCCCCTACACTAGTAACAGAGCCCACTCAGTAGTGAAAAGCCTTCCTCAGATACATGAACAAAGCATGGGAAGTGGTATTGTTCACCTGCAAAATAAAACCTAGGCCTTGGAAAATATTAATCTGCTTTCATTTTAATAGTTGCTTATCTGTGCTATTTTATGCATTTAGGTTTTTAGGCGGCATAATATTTAGCTTGTTTTCTGTGCCTTTTGATGCTGGTTTTTAAACCCTACTTTATTAGCTGCCTGGAAGTACTCATGTAGTACAAGGGAAGAGAAGTTTATTTCTTTTAAAATCAGTACACTGATAATTTGGGTCAAAACTAAACATTTGAAGAGACCAGAAGCTGCTGACTTTCTAACCATCATTTCCCCCTCTTTCTAGTAATCTAGGATGGGGATGGCCAATGGTGTCACTACCTTGGTGTCACTCAGAATACAAGGGGGGGGGCAGTGGCCAAAAGGGAACACTCAGCCTTCTACTTCACAACATCAGTGGAGGCTTCCTCATGAAGTGGTCTTTGCCACCATGGCAAAGCCAGGAAGAAGCCTCTCCCACCCCAGCAAAGCTTATGAGCAGAATCCCATAGCTGTGGCAAAGCCAGGAGAGGTGTGCTTGGCCTTCTCCTTCACTGCACTGGCAGTGGTCTGCTTGTGGTGAAGCTTGCTACCATGGCAAAGCCAAGAGCGGTGCAGAAGGAGGAGGTCTTGACTGGGTGTCACGGCAATTCTTGGGTGTCACCTGGTGTGGCCTGTACCCCTTCACCCTTTAGTGATGTCACTGGGGATGACAACTGTGTGGAAACCACTCACCAATTCCACTTCCCCCCTTGGACTGCAGTCACCTCACATGCAAAACCAAACTTTTTTTCTTCAGTGTCCTTCTTAAAATGGTCACTGGATGTGATGTTCAATCACTTCCTGTTTATTTATTTATTTATTTATATCCCTCCCCTCTGCAGAGCAATCGGGGTGGCTTACAACATTAACATTTCCATACAGATAAAACATAAAACATAAAAATCCTGAATCCCACCCGTCCTGTTGCCATTTTGGGAAGTGAAAATAGAGGTATTTGGGGGTGGGGTGTTTTTGCACATTTCTGCATTGTGGGGGGCTTTCTGTGGAGCGTTGGCAAAGATCACTTGAATAATCACACCATTAATAAAAAGATTTGGGCTTTGAGGCTTTGATGGACTGGAGGGGGCCTTCAGAACTGGGGTCTAGGGGCCCACAGGCCACACTTCCCTCATACCTGCTCTAGAACGCAGTCCCTAATGTAAAGGACCACTGAACTCAAACATTTTTCGGCTACTGCCCCCTTTCCTCTTGACTGACAACTCTAGAGCTCCGCTACCTGCATATTTCTTGATATTTCTTGTTATTGTTCTATTGCAAATTCAAAACAACCAATCTTTGTTGCTGCTGCCTTTGTACCCATTCACCTTGGGAGCAGCAACCAAGCTGCTGGCTGAGCAGTGACTGAGAAACCTCTTATCCATGCTAGGCTTGTGGCAAAGGTCAGCACAGGCAAGAGGCTTCTCAGTCACTGCTGGCCTGGTTTCTTAGCCACTGCTCCCAAGGTGACCAAGTGCAAAAGGATACACTTCTTCCTGGTGAGGAAGGACTCTCAATATTTCTTTGTTGGGGTGTAGGGGGGTAGGTGGTGTGTTTTTAGGGAGTTTACGGAAGCCACATACTCCAGACTGGAGATTGGTGTGGACAGGGAATAGAAGACATTTTAACTACATCAACTCCAAGGCAAAGTACTCTTTCCAAGAATTAACCCCGGATACTCCTCCCCTTCCTTTCCTATGTCTGTAGTGGATAGAGTTACTGATTACGGATAATGCCTCCATCCTGAATCAATGGGCTGAACATTTTCAAAGTCTCTTCAGT